ATGAGTGTGGCCGTACGCAAATTCCTGACAGTGGTGACCATTTCTGCGCGCTTCGTCGTGTGCATCTTCGTGAGTTTCTTGCTGGGGAATTTCGTCGTGAGCATCTTCCAACTCGTTGTGGTTCATGGGCCCCGTCCTGGGCATCTTCCTGGGATGGGGGCGATCCTAGTCCTGCTGACCCTCGCGAGCTTCGCCACGCCTGCTCTCCTGGTGATGACGGGCCTCCTGAACCTGCTCCGATACACCAGCCTGCCGTTAGTGCGCACAGCGAGCCTGGTCGGGTTCTCCTTCCTGATGGAGATCCTTGTCGTGATCTTCGTGCGCCTCGTTGTGAGCATCTTCCTGGTGATGGTGATCGTCATCTTGACGCACCTTGTGCGTTTTGTCGCATGCGCCCACCTGATGATGGACAGCCTCGCGATGGCTGCTTCGACTATGTTCTTGGAGATGGTGCGCATCATCAGCGTGGTCGTGAGCATCTTCCAGACGATGGTGATCACCGTCAGATGCATCTTCCTGATGAAGAGCTTCGTCGCGGGCATCTTCCTAGCGGTACCTTTCGTCGTGTGCTTCTTGGGCCTCGTCGTGGGCCTCTTCCTGGCGATGGTCATCTTATTCTGGCTGGTCTCCGTGAACTTCGCCGTGCGTGCCTTCCTGGTGAGGGCGCGCTTGCCGAGCATGTGCGTGTGCATCGTCCTGATGGAGAGCGTCGTCGTGAGCCTCGGCCACCTCGTTGTGAGCATCTTCCTGGTGATTGTGACCGTCCTCCTGATGACTGAGAGCTTCGCGAGGCTAGTCGTGTGCAGCCTGCTGGCGGGGCGCATCCTGCGCCTACTCGTGAGCACCTTCCTGACGGGGGTGAACATACTCGGGGGTCGCTTCGTGATGGAGATCGTCACCGTGTGCATCTTCCTGATTGTGCGGTCGTCGCCGAAGAGAGGTCGAGCACGCTGCCGCGATGTGGAGATTGCGACGGCCGCTTGGAGGTTTGCACGTTGCGATGTGAACTGGAAGGCTGGATGTGCGATCGCCGAGTCCGGCGCGCCGCCTGGTGCCGGCCTCGTCGTTGGTTATGGAGCCTCCAGTGCGACCCCGCGTCTAACCATAACTGGCATTCCGAAGGAGACAGCGGCAGCTGCAGCGACGGAAGATCGCTGAATGAGCTCACCTTGCCCGCTGCCTGCAGTGTAAGTCTTCGTGCTGTCTGTCCCTCTCCCCTCGTGTGGCCTCCCCCCTCCTCTCCCCTCGCCCGCCCTGTGCCTCCCCCGCTCTGCCCCCACTCCGTGTTGTGCTGTGGTGTCCTCCTCTCCGCCCATCGTCTGTAGTGGAATTTGAACTGAATCTTGCATGGGCTGAGCGATTCACTCTCGGGGCTCCCCACCCTTGGGGGCCGCGCAGTTTTCCTGCGCACAGTAGGTCGCACATGGCTCAACAATTCCGCGTGTTTCGTTGCGTGTTCTCCTTCTGCACGGACGCAATCGGCCCGATACCGCATCGCTGCGGCCGCCTGCCCCTTCCCCTCGTCGCTCCTCGTTTTTTTTGGACGTTGCTCGGACTATACTTCCTCCTCCTCGCTCCTTCTCGTCCGTTGCTCCTCCTCGTCCGTCACTCCTGCTCGTCGCTCCACCTCATCCTCCTTGCCCCCTCCGCCTCCTAGGCCTGAGATGAGCCGAGTCTCAACATCGGAGCGGGTCGGAAGCGGATCGGATCGCCAGCCGATCGTCCCGAATCCTACCGAAACTGGATTGTCGCACCTGTCTCTGGCTGGCCCGTTCCGATGCCGCTGGATCGAGCCGAATCTTGTACTGAACCAGTGGCTGCGGCTCTTCCTCACCGCCGAGCCCGCCATTCTCGCGCCGTGATTAAACGCCATCGTGTCTTCTCTTCTTTTTTTTGCTTCGGCCCGGGGGCCCTTATGCGCCCCCCCCCTCTAGACCCAGGGTAGGGAGGACGAGGATAAGGAGGAGGAGGAGGAGGAGGAGGAGGAGGAGGAGCAAACGTACCCTGAGGGCGAGTCCCGATCCAGCTCTAGGCGCGGAGCGCCAAGTGCGCTGCACCAGTGACTCGCGTGGCTGATTCGTATGTATGATAAGCCGAAACGGCCAGAGAATCCTTCGATTTATGGTAAATGTGGAAAGCAAGGACGGTGGCTTCGACAGCCTGGAGGCGCGTTATCTCACAGTCTTCTGTGCCGTACTCGGTCGGGGCACCGAGGCCGAGCCAGAGGAGAGGGGGTCTGAAGGAAAGACAAGCCGCATCCAGCTTAAGGCGACATGGTGGCGCATCCGAGGGCGCATGAAGTAGTGAGCTATCGCATCAGGGCCTCCACATCCAAAGATACAGTCACGAGTGTGCCGCGAAACATGCATGCGTGTACTCGTGATCCAGCCTCCGCACACGCTATTGGTGTACGCCCACCGCCACGCAGGCCTGACTTGCTCAAGACATTCACGCACAAGAACCCATCTCGTATCAAGAGCTGGTGGACATGTAAACTGCCACTCAGTAAGCCTGCGAGCGATCGTGAGAAACACTCTATCAGCAAACACAGCGTGCATGAGCGAAGTGCCTACAACTCTCTGAAGCCTGAAGCTTGGGGGGACGAGCCTCCTGGAGAGCACTGCGAAGCTCTCGACGCCCCTCAGCCCGGGCATTGTCCCAAACGCGAAGCGAGAAGGGGAAGGGAGGGCGAGGCAAGCCGTTACGACGACGCAGGACGACACGAGGGGTGGAGGTGGTGAGTTCCTGGTAGTACTGCACAATCGCTTGGCCATGCTTCCAGCACGGGGCGCACCATTCCCCGAAAGCCCAGCGGGGGGCGGATGGGGGGAGCGATCCACAGGCAGCTTCAGCGGCCTGCTGCAGCTTGTCGTGGGCAGCGTGCCAATCGGGCACGGTGTGGGTCAATGTGCGCCAAGCCGCCGAGACACCCAGGAGCATGAGCGATTTCTGCGTCGAGCCGATCCAATGCAACGACAACAAATCGGCGCGAGAAAACGTATTCTGGGGAAGACGGAGCAGCTTGTGAAGAGCGAGAGCCTCACGCGAGAGAACAAGAGAGGACATGGGGAAGAACTGGGCGAGATAGCCGAGCGTGCTAACAGCATTCATGTTATACTCATACACCAGAAGCGGCGCGGCAGCACGAGACGAGGGGAGCTCGATCGCTCGGTGCCGCCACTTCTGGGACGCGACGTGCCACTGGTCAAGAAGGCCTCCACCAGGGCCAGACTGGACAAAGAAGATACGCTGTAGCCGGCTGAACATCCAATGAACAGAATGTAGGAACCTCAGATTGGAGCCACAGCTGAATTCGCGACACAAGCTCGGACGTACATTCGGTCCAGAGCGGCACGATGCAACATTTGGCATGTTGTAGAGACAAGTGTGTATGGCGCTCGATGGCACTGAAATGCGGGGCTAATCGTGCGAGCGTGCGGAGCTGGGGCAGGAGGGTGCCAATGTCGTCGGCACAGCCTCCTACATCTCCTGGGCTGTCTCCCGGAGGAGGCTGCCCAACAGCCTCAGACAACAACCTCACCACGGGGTCGAAAATGAGCGCCCAGACCGATCTCGAGGAGGAGGAGGAGGAGGAGGAGGAGGAGGAGCCAGTCCCTGGAGGAGGGGTTCCAACCTCTGGGGAGGCGCGTCGTGACAAGAATCATGGCGTCGGGTGTCGGGGGAAGCGAAGAGAGGGTGGTCGGACCGTGGCGGGCAAGGCGGCTGGAGGGCGCGGAACTCTTCCACATGGCCGAGGGGCCACACAGCCACCCCGAAGATCTCAGTCGGGCCGAACGAAACGGGTCTCAGCCCACGAATTTTTCGACAAAATGAGGCCGCTCAGGAAACGAGGGAAACCCTTGGATTCACCACAATGGGGGGCTATTCGGACGTACCCCTATCGAGGATGAACGCCCCCCGTTGTATATCTTAGGGTTGGGCCCTTAATTTTTCTGGTCCCCTCGAAATTGGATATGGGTTGGCCTATCCCCTGGGACCTGACACGCTCGGGCCGAACGAAAGGGGGGGGATAGGGAAAAGGGGGGGTTACGACGTCTGCTGCATGCAGCTGGTTCTGGCCCGCCGCCGGGCCCATTCCTCGATACATGGGCGCCTCCCGGCGCCGGGAGGCGCTGTGAACTACGTGAGCTGATTCTCTATCCTACCCTTTGCTATCCCCCCCCTTTCGATCCCCCCGACTCAGGAGGAGGGACGAGGGACGGTGGTGTTTTTTTCCAAGTTCGTCTGGCGACGACGACAACACCACCCACGGGCTCTGCACAGCACTACAGCAAGGCCCCGCCGCAGCGTGCATTGGAGGAGCGCCTTGCCAGCGACGAATACTACGTCAGGAGGCGGAAGGAGAAGAGAGAGAGGGAGAGAGGCGAGACAATGAAAACATGAAAGAGAAATATTGGGCAGCGTGGTTGCTCAAGTCCGCTTGGCAAGGAGGATGACAAGGACGTGGTGCAAACCATGGGGGGCAAGCAGTGTGGTGCAAGCCGTGGTGAAAACAATTCAATGCACGGTACGTGGTGCGGTCCGCATGCTGCAGACTACACGGGCAAACTATGCAATGCCCACGGCCAGGCACCAACTGACAACACAGAAATCCCAGCCGACGTACGGGGCACCCACGACGCGCTCACAACGTGGCGCCAGCCGAAAGCCCAGACGTCTGGTGCAATAAATAGACAGAAATGCAAGCAGTGCCAGGGAAGCTCAAGAGAGAATTTCTAGCACGACTGCTATGCACAGGGAATGTGACCAATAAATACAGCACGGGGACAAGGGAGGGTGGGTACGGAATAATCATACGGACAGGGAGAGAGAGCGAGAAAAAGAGAGAGAGAGAGCGAGAGCGAGGCAGAGAGAGAGAGAGAGAGAGAGAAAAAGTGATAGAGAGGGAGACAGAAAGGGAGAGAACTAGAGAGAGAGAGAGAGAGAGAGAGAGAGAAAGGAGAAGAGAGAGAGAGAGATTACGATGAATATAATAATGCTTACGTAGAGGGACGGAGAGAGGGAGAGAGAGCGAGAGGGGTATAGAGTGAGCAGAGGCATCTCTACAGACCACTTAGCAAAGACAGTTCGGATCGCCATGCCATGTGTATCGGTTCCATATATGCGACTGGTTGGGATGTACATCTGGTGTGATTCGTGCCGCCCCTCTTGCACCCCCCATTCGACAACGATGCTCGCTTGTGGCGGCTTTCGCGTCGGCATCATTGGGAACGTGTTCTGACGCGGGTATAGAAACCGTTACTCTGGGAACATACGAATCTTACTCAGGATGTGCGGAAGTCCCACTCGCATCACTGGCCGACTCCAGTTTCCGCCAACCAGGTATCGAAGACAGAGTGGAAGCTCTTGAATGGAGTGGGCGATGTGCCACTGTTTTGGGGAACGAACAACGAAAACAACATAGAAACTCTGAGGTCCGCGCGGATTTCTCGGATCGGCGCTGGATACCCGTGGCGGCGCCTCCGGCGTCGCCCCTGGCACGCTCCGCGCGCCAAGGAGGGGGTCCAACGCCGATCCGAGAAATCCGCGCGGACCTCAGAGGTTTTTATGTTTATGTTCTTGTTTGTTTCCCTACTATTACCCAGACTCACGAACACTTTGAGCAGATTCGCCCTCCGCTGCCCTTTGAGCTTCGATGTTGTGTACTTTGTGGCCTACGGGGGGGGTTTCCCATGGCCGCGGGTGGACGTGAAACATGCTGCGGGCTTCGGAACCTCTGAGCTGCAACAAAATCGTAATCTCTTCGGTGGTGCTCCCTTTCCTTATTTTTTGGGGGGTCGCACCCCCCCCAGCTGCGTCAGGCTCTTGAGGTCTTGTGAATGGCTGGCTGAAAACCTACCGCAATCGTGGCGCCATCGGATCTGTAAACGATGTGAAAGCCCACGGAGACACGTGAGGCGGACGACAGCCGAGGTTGCAATATAAAAGTGCTGGAAAACAAAGCCTAACGTCCTGCCCCCTTTCACGTGCACGATGTCTTGGTCGCTGTCCTCGAAGGTCGGGCAGCCTCCGAACGCTCACCTCGTTGGCGTCAAAGCGACTAGCAGCGCCCCGCCACATCATGGGCATCTCTTATGGCGGGTATGGCGGGGCGATCGCGTGGGTCGCAGCCAGGGGGGAATTGCGACCCCCCTCCCCTTCGGAGGCAAACAGGTCCTTTGAGCCGCCGAGGCTTCCGCGCACCCCCTTTTTTTCCAACGCGACTCCCATTGCCTCGGAAATTTAGCGGGGGCTCCAGCACAACCGTGAAAACGACGCGGCGCGTTTCCAATCCGAAACGAGGCCCTGAAACGGACAGCGGGCGCGGCGCGGCAGGCCGACAGGCCTCAGCCCCGCACCCCGCGCACCCCCACGCTTGTGGAGGTGGCACCTGCGAGGGCCCTCCCCCCTCCCCTCCTGGTGGTGGTGGGTGGGTGGGTGGGGGTGGGGGTGGGGGGTGGGGTGGGGTGGGGTGGGGTGGGGTGGGGTGGGGTGGAGGGGGGGGGGGGCGCAAAAAGTCCCCCGCACCTTTAGCGTGGCCCCCTTCTAAAATATTTCTCGAGCTGCGTCTGTGAGGTGTGGGGGTGGGGTGGGGTGTGGGGGGTGGGGCGGGGATGGGGTGCGTGTGTGTGTGTGTGTGTGTGTGTGTGTGTGTGTGTGTGTGTGTGGGGAGGGAGGTCGAAAGGAGAGGTGGGGGAAGAAGAGGGAAGGCTCTCGGCGGCAGCGGCAAAGCCTTGCACCTCACGGGTAGATGCTAGCGTCCGTGCTGTTGTGGGTGCTGGTGTCCGCGTTGTCGTCGGTGCTGGTGTAGCCGTCCTCAGCCCTACATCTTCTTCGGCTTTTTGCTCTTGTTCGCCTGCGCCCCCTTGTCGCCCTTGAACGCCAGCGACTCCGCCTCTTTGGCCAACTGCGACCTCGTCGCCATGTCGTGCTGGGGGCTTACGCCCACTACGGCCATCGCCTCCTTCGGCGCTCCCCTCAGCGCCTCCTTCAAATTCGGGTAGTGGTTCGCCGCGAAGATCCACTTGAGCTCGCCCTCCACGCCCCCCCCTCGTTCTTGCTCTTCTCCTTGATGCACCTCGTCGCCGCGAACTTTAGCTGCTGGTCCTGCGCCGTCGCCCCGTAGCGCAGGAGCTCGTCCAGCGCGGCCTTGGTTCCAATCGGCTCGATGCCCTGCGTGGCGGCCGCCGGCGCCGCCTCCTTCATGCCCTCCACGGCCTCCGCCACGCGGAACAGGACTGCCAGTGCCTGCGCGTCTGGCCGCTTGCCGATCAGGTTGCCCAGGAAGACCTCCTCCTCCTTCACCTTCTCCTTGGCCTTGGCGCCCTCGTCCACGCAGTGCGCCAGAGCCTGGTCGAGTGTGATCGCCATCTTCTGCGACGGCTTGGGCGGAAACACGAAGTTGCCGTGGTGCGCCGCCCTCGCCATGTCCTCGTGTAGCAGGGCCAGGCGGCCGGGCGCCGTGCCCGGGATGCCCACCGCGTCGGGTTGGTCGTCCTTGCCCTCGCCCCCGGCCCCTGCCTCGACCGCCGTCCTCATGTTGGCGCTGCTGCCCGTCAACGCCTGTACCTCGCTGTTCGGCTGGAACATCGCTGGCAGCAGCTGGGGCGAGCTCGACAGAGGAGGCCGCGAGCGCTGGAAGCTCTGCAGGTCTGGCTTGAGCCTCAACTTCACTAGAACGGGTCGTGGAGCGTTTCTGTTTAATGTGCCTCACCAGCGTGTCTTTTCTGGTGAATGTCTTCTGGTATTTGGGGCGTCGCTTTTGTTTCGGGTCCGTGTCCGTGAGGGCTTCGGCTGCTGGGTTTGCATATACCTTATGAGCTGCGTGTTTGTGGTTGGCTAACCCCTTTTCCCCATTGCATTTTCGACCGCGCACGTCGCGCCCCAGCCGCAAGATGGCTGCAGCATCAGTCACAGCGTCCGCCTCGCCGCCATAAGTCAGCACACGGTGAAGGCTGCGCGGCTCAAGGGCGGGGAGCCAGCGCAGCCGCGGCTCGGCCAGCTCGTGTAGGTCGCCGCGGAGCTGAAAGAGCCGACGGGCAGTGAGCTTCTCCTGCACGTCCGCGGTCTGCCACATCTGCCGCATGTCGCCCAGCAGCAGAATCAGCGTGCCCGACTGCCCCCCATGGCCGACCCTCTCAAACGAGAATCGGCCGAATATGACCGCCCTGATCGCCAGCGTCGGGTCGTGCAAATCGTCGCTGGGCTCCCTGAAAGCAAGCCACAACACTTGTCGCCACCACCTCAACCTTCTCAGTAACAGTGTGCTCGTAACAGTCGGCGTACGGGCCCGCTTCCTGATCTCACGGTTTGTAGTCTTATGCAGGTGGGCTGGCGAATGCAACAATCCACGAAGCTTCTTCACTTGCCAGCTCTCCAACTTGTTCAGCTCCCGCATGGTGAGGTGTGCGACCTCCAGGCAGTACAGGCACACCGAGCGGACAAGCGCCTTCCACAATCTGGTCTTCAACTTTGCACTGAACCCACTCTTGAACGCACGTCGCAGCAGGCGAGCGTGAGTAGAGTTAGCTGCCTTGATGCGGTTCGTGACCTCTACGCGGTGGGTGCCCGTCGCCGCCAATTGCACCCCTAAGTGCTTGACCGTCGGCTGCGGGTGCAACGGGAAGTAGTCGTCGTCTTCCCACGCCACTATGACAGTAGTTTGTGCTCGAATATGCTTCAACCTTTTTCTTACTGCCGATCCCCGACGGCGTGAGCATAATCTCGGTCTTCCTCCCGTTGACTCTCATGCCGCCAGCCTTGATCTCGCCCGTCAGTACTTCCAGGGTGATGGATGCATCGTCGCACTCCCTGGTTTCAGCGAACGTGAGCAGATCATCTAAGAACTTCAACTGAGAGAGGTCCAGGGCCTCGCACTCGTCCTCTTTCAAACTGTCGTTGCACCTGATCCTCTTGAGTGTGGGGTCGTAGTGCACCTGGATGGCGGGAGACTCCAGCTGTTGTAGTTGGTCCGTTATCCGATATACAATCCCATCATATACCGCCACAAAACAAAAGGCCTGGACTCTCAACACCTCCTTGTCGCACACCTTGCTTGACCCAGATCCGAGCAACAAGCGCATGAGTGGTGACATCACGGAACAAATAGCACATGCCCTCATGGAGCTCCTCCAAGGTCGAACGGGCATCCCACCGTAGTTCAAGCGCCTCCAAGCTTTGCCAAATATCCTGGCGTACCACCGCGTCCGCGTCGAAAGCCTTCTCGATGTCCGTGAGGACTGCCAGCAGCATAGGAGGTGGGGCTGAAGTGCTTCCTCGTCGCTTGGCTCGGTGCTCTCTCTGATGCCTAACAATCACTTCGCCTGCCACTGCCGCCGCATCTCGCGTACCCCGCCCAGGCATAGCTCCGAACTGCGTTGGTGAAATCTTGTGTGCCACCTCCCTCATCGCGTCAAGTGTGGTGACCCTGGCGTACGCCTTGCCGAAGTGGTTGATCAAGTTGATGGTACGGTAGTCCGTCGATGCCGTGCAGCCGTCGCCCTTCGGTTTCCTCAACTGCATGGTCTCACCATCCTTGAACCTCTGAGGTGCGTCGCCCAGCGCCTGCGCCGCGTTGACAACCTGCAAGAGGGGTGGCGCGAGCGTGTCTATCGCCAGCTTCCAAGACTCAGCAACAGCGCCCCCAGGCGCCCCCCTCATAGGCCACTGCAGCATAGGTCCCCCCTTCATGTTGGGCAAATCTATGATACTCTCCTTCACCTCAGCAAGGCCGTAGCTGCCGATCCTATCATCATCGCGTTCCTTCCTGCCAGCTCGAAGAGGCCGCTCGTCAAGACGCATCGCCGTGCCGTCGCACACGTCGCATGTGCTCAGAATACACACTCTCTGGTCGTCCTCAGCATCAAAACACGGCAGCCCAGTGTTCGGGTCCTTTACTGTCATGATTGGCGCCGCTGGCTTCGGGGCCAACTTATTCACGATGGTGTGGAGCCTCCGCAAGTTCCTCTGACCTGCCGCTCGCTCCGCCTCGTCAGCTAGCGCCGCCGTCCGCTGCCGCTTCTCACTCCTGATCGCCGCCGTCGCCAACTTCGCCGCCTCGTTGAAATGCAACTGGAACTGTGCCCGCATCCACCGAGCACCGTCAGGAATAGCTGCAAGCTGATATTGCCAGTAGTGCTTTGCCTTAATCAGTCGTACCGTCTGGTCGCTGAACACTGGCCCGTCCGCTCGTCTCGTCGCTGGTGGCGAAATATAGTCCTGCAGTGCCTTCTCGATCACCACGCCCTCCAGCTCATTGAAATACTCAGTGGGAGACTCGTATCGCCTGCCATTGCCGCAGATGTCAGACCACTCCTCCTGGAACCCCTTCGCCCCGATCCCTTCCTGCACCTTCGCCCGAAAGTTGAGCAAGCGGTTGGGGAGCTGCACCTGGTTGTCGGGATCCGCCTCCGCCTGTTGCGCCTTGAGCAATTCCGCGAAAACGAGCCCTCGACGCCATCTGTGTCTGCCTGCATCCTTCACGGTCTTTGCCTTCACACCCGCGAAGATTCGAGACTCCAAAGGCCTGTGGTCCCTGTAGCCGCCCAAAGTGACAGGAAGGTCAGCACGAGGGTAGCTTGAGTGTCCGTATCCGCCCCTCCGCGCACCCCCGCCAACTTCCGCCGGCGTCTGGCGGCAAAGCCGCCCCCATTTTGCTTCCGCCGGCCCTCCGCCGAGGAAGAGAAACCACCCCCTGCGACCCTCGAAGGCGAGGCCCTCCCTTTGAGGAAGAACGAAGACATGCCACAAGCAGAAACTTTCGGAGGTCCGCGCTGATTTCTTGGATCGGCGCTGGACCCCCTCCTCGAGGAACACAGACATGCCATAAACAGAAACTCTCAGAGGTCGGCGCTGATTTCTTGGATCGGCGTCTCTGAATCCGCCAGGGGGCTCCAATGCCGATCCAACAAATCAACGCGAACCTCCGAAATATTACGCTTATGTAATATTTTGCTCCTCGACTTCGCGCGCCACGTGCAGGATTTGATTAGAAATCAAAGGGCCCCTAAACCTTTGGAGCGGGCCGAATGAAGAGGTCTGAAACATCAGGGGTAGGAGGTCTGCTCAGCAAATGTGTCAAACCAAACCACCCAGATCGATTACCCCTGATACAAGCACAGGGACTTAAGTTAGATTATACAGCCCTTTCATGTATATACATATGTATATGTATATGTATATGTGTATGTATATGTATATGTATATGTATATGTATATGTGTATGTATGTATATGTATAGGTATATGTCTATATATATATATATATATATACATAACTCCCCCCAAAAAACTCGATGAGGACTGGCAGCCAGCGTGAGCCGCTGACGGGCGCCCCTCCCCGAGCCTGCGTCGGGGCCGCGGGAGCTGCCGCGCACGTACTGCAGCGCCTCGGAGTGGGCGGCGGCGGTGGCCTATGCGCGGTGTCGGTCGTCGTCGTCGTCGTCGTCGGTGTTTGGGTGAGTGGGTGGGTGGGTCGGTCGGTCCATCGGTCGGTCGGTCGGTCGGTCGGTCGTCGTCGTCGTCGCCGTCGGAGTTGGCATGTCTTCTTCGGCAGAGGGCCGGCAGAATAGCTCACACCGTGTGAGATCTTGAAGCACAAACTTTTTTTCAACGGACGCAACCAGGGAATGCAGGTCGATAAATCCGATGCCCCTCAGCAGGGCAATCCCAATCGCGCGAGTCTTGAGGCAATTGCTCACGATGGAGAATGCCATACTATTTCATACCGTAGTCTTAATATGTATTGTATCATGATGTGCTATATAATTTATCCGGTTCTAGTATATAGTACCTTCGAATACTATACTCTACTATGTTGTGCTATACTAACTCTATGCAATGTTGGGATATTTTGTCATGTGATACTATACCTCATGGATGGTATGATCTGATATTAATTGGGATATTATCTGACCAATAGATTGCTGTATCTTATATGGTATAGGAACAATTTTTATGAGTTCACATTAGTTTTGTATTACCATCATGTTGTCTGATGCTACATGGTCCATCGTACTGACATGTACTGTATTACATTGTACTGCGTTGAGCTATGATATTATGTACTATACTATACGATGTGATGTTATGATGTGGTTCACTATATCACATCATTTTATATCAAAACACACATATAGATATGTATGATACCAGAGAAAAGCCCAATCATAATCTTTTTAGGGCTGTAGGGCTATAGGGCTGCAGGGCTATATGGGCTCTTGGGCGCAATATGGGCTATATGGCTATAGGCTATCGGAGGTTGGGGGGTGAAATCGCAGTGTAACGGAGTCCTCCCACCGGGAAATCGAGTTTCGAGTTCGTGCTCGTGCCGTGCGTGCGGGCGAGGCGAAGCTGCGTGGGCCAGCGAGAGGAATTCACTCTGCTGTCGCTAGGGGTCCGCCAACACAAAAGTTTCCCCCCCGGCCTTGTCAAGTGGTAGCCCACGTTGTCCCGTCGGTTGCCCGCCGGTAGCCCACGTTGTCCCGTCGGTTGCCCGCCGGTTGCTCTCTCCCGCCGGAACAAAACAAAATCCGCCACGTCATCCACACCATCATCGCCCATCAGCACCACGTTCATCACAGTTGTCGTCATAAGCCACCCCCTTCCCCCCACCCCCCCACAACCTCCTTATCACCCGCAAGGTGGTCGTATAGGTATGGCTATATGGTTATAGGGCTATAGGGCTATAGGGCGATAGGGATATAGGCCTATAAGGCTATTGGGCTACAGGGCACCGGGCACCCTGGCACCCGGCACCCGGGCACCCACCCGGGCAACGGGCACCCGTCACCCGGGCACCCAAGCACCCGGGCATCCATGCACCGGGGACCTGTCACCGAACCGGCGGCGATCCCGAGCACCCGGGCACCCGGGCACCCGGGCACCCGGGCACCTGGGCACGGCCACTGAATCGGCGGCGAACCCGGGCACCCGGGCACCTGGGCACCCGGGCACCCGGGCCCGGCCACCGAATCGGCGGCACACCTCACCTACCCTTAAATCCGCTAGGACCCCTACAGCCTATAGAGGCAAACTCTGATTGGTGAGTATATATTTATACACATACATATATATATAGGTATACTTCACTATCGTGTGACATACTGCCATGCACCATATACTATCAATTCATGTTGTGATAAGTTTAGTTAAACTATACGGTGCAATGTTATATTTTGGTATGGCATATTATTTTTACCCAATCAGAGCTTGCCTCTGCAGGGGCCCTAGCGGATTTATATTTGTAGGTGACCTACGCGGCCGAATGCGGTGGCTGGGCCCGGGTGCCCGGGTGCCCGGGGGTGCCCAGGGGTGCCCGGGGGTGCCCGGGTGCCCGGTTGCCCGGGTGCCCAAGTGCCTGGGTGCCCGGGTGCCTGGGTGCCCAGGTGCCCGGGTGCCCGGGTGCCCCGTAGCCGTATAGCCCTATACCCTTATAGCCTTATAGCTATATAGGCCTAGAGCCTTATAGCCACATAGTCTCATAGCTCTATAACCCTAGAGCCCTAAGAGCCCTGTAGCCCAATAGCCCTAATAACCCTACAGCCCTAATCGCCCTATAGCCTTTGAGCCTTATAGCCGTATAGTCCTATAGCGCTATAGCCCTACAGTCCTATAGCCCTCTAGCCTCATATCCTTAGAGCCCTATAGCCCTATAGCCCCATAGCCATATAGCCCCAAACAAACATCGGATTTGAGTTGTTTTTTTCTCTGGTATCATGTTGTATTGTGTTGTAAACTATATGATATATCATACAGAAGTAAATCGACCTGTTCGTTGTTCCTCGAAAGACCTCGGAGCTTGGGGCATGGTAAGCCGTGGCAAGCTAAGGAGGCTACACGTGGCGAGCCCGCCCCGGAACAGGCATTGACTCACGGCGGTTTCGTTGAGGCTACCTGGCTGAACTGTGCCAGCCAAATATCGAAGTTGGCTGGTGCACTTTGCTCAGACTGAAAATCATAATGACGCTGACCCGAACTGAGCAATACCGAAAAACGTGTACCATTTCTGTTGCTAGTGTGCCCGAACCGACTTCTGCTAGAGGGGACTAGACTAAACTGACACTGCATGACAATCAAGCCAGCAATCTGACTGGCAAGTGGTCGCCCACCTGCTTCTCTGCATGGTTTCCGTTCTCGACTCGCTCTCGGTGGGCATCAGTGACGACAGCGAAGCTGTTTATTGCAACCGTCCCGGGCTGCACGACCCCGATGTCAGCTGGCCCCGCCCTAAATTCGTGCCTGGAGGACGGCGGGCCCATCTTATCCGCCAGCCACAACTCTAAACTTGTACGGTTCACCGAGAAGGTAGGAACATGCGAGGGAAGCACCAACAAATCCGAGGGAGCACAAGAGAAATCGGCCTTCGTCTTCCCTCCTGCAGAACTGGTAGTTGCACGCAGACAGCCCCTCCAGGTAGCCTCGGCTGGCCTCATCAGGCCCCAAAAGTAATCTGGGGCGGTTTCAACACTCCAGCCCTGGGGCGCGGAGCGCTCCTGGGGCGCCGCCAGAGGCGGCGTCAGGGTGTGGAGGCCGCACGTGGCTACTCGGGGGGCCTTTTGCGGCCAGCCAGGACTACCTGGGGGGGCTGTTGAGGCCAGCCAGGACTATCTGGCGGGGCTGTCTGTGCGCAGCCCGAAGCATTACCATGTAGAGAGGCTTCTGGAGGGCGATATCATCCCACTGCTCCCCCGAAGGACTGCGAGTTCCGCTGCCTGCGACACGTCGCGCAACTGCTGCATCGCCGCGCGCAGGGGCGCCTCCCGGTCCGGCAAGGCGAGGCTTCGAGGGACGCGAGTACCATGCCCACTTCGTCTGCAGTGCCCAGCAAGAGGGGAATGCCTCCGCCCACTGGGCACATACTTCAAGGCAGCAGCGGACACCTGCCAGCGTCGTTGTACCTATGTGTGTATGTATGTATGCATACATGCATGTATGCATGTATGTATGTATGTATGTATGTATGTATGTATACAGGATTGCATGCATGTACATGTGTGTATACATTCATGCATGCATGCATGTGCATGCACATATTATGTGTATGCAGGTGTATGTCTGTATGTGTATGTGTATGCAACTGTAGGTGTTCATGACATATATGCGTAGAGGCATGTGTAAGCTATACATGAAACGTATGTGTCGAGGCCAAGGCATTCGTGTTTGTATCATGCAAATTTGTACACCTATTCGCGGACTTCCCAACGTGCATTTGCGTGATCGTGTATACCTGTACTATGTGTATGTATGTATGTATGTATGTGTGCATGCATGCATGCATGCATGCATGCATGCATGCATGTATGTCTGTCTGTCTGTCTGTCTGTCTGTCTGTCTGTCTGTCTGTGTGTGTATATACATATATGTATATGTATGTACAGATATTCGCCGTACTAATCCAGGGGGCCCGGGAGGCTTGCATAGTGCTTTTCTGAAGCAGTTTTGACCCTCTTGGGGGCTGTTTTGGCGTCTCTTGGGACCTTTTTTTGAGCCTCTTGGGGAGCTGGGCCTGTTGGGGGCCTCTGTGGGGATCCTTGGCGCCTCTCGGGGGCCATTTTGGGGCCCCCTTGGGCCGTCTTGGGCGCCTCTTGGGCTGTCTTGGGGCCTTCTTGGGCCGTCGTGGGGGCCTCTTGAGGCCGTCTTGCGGCAATGTATATATATAATATATATATATATATATATATATATATATATATATACATATATATATATATATATATATATATATATATATATAACATGCATGTACATCTCCGCCGCCGTGCCCCGAGGCACGACGTGGTGTGTCGTCGAGCCCTCCGAGTCCTCTGCGCTGAGCATGGTCATGCTCCTCGATCGTTCCCGCAGTTCCGAGTTCCGGGCAGTGATGGGCGCTCCTGGGGCTCTCTCGCGTGCCGCTTGAGGCCTGTCTCGTGACTTTTTCCGAGGCCCGGGCGCTCCAAGACGGCCCAAGAGGGCCCCGGGAGGCTCCCAGGACGGCCCACGAGGCTCCCAGGACGGCCCACGAAGCTGCCAGGAAGGCCCCTCCAAGACTCCCCTAAGAGGGTCAAGAGGCCCCCCAAGAGGCAAATCGCACTGCTGTTCGTGAGGGTAATGACAATCTTTAAGGTTCTCGCTTTTTTTGGCTGGCGACGCTCCAAACGGCCCCCAGAATCGCACCCCGAGAGGCCCCCAAGAGGGCCCCAAGACGGCCCAGGAGGCCTCAAGACGGCTTAAGAGGCCTTCAGGATAGCTCAAGAGGGCCTGCAGAGGGGCCAAAGCAAGGAACTCGAACCGATATCTCGAGCCCTCGGCCCCAACATGGCTCCCGAGACTGCAGGCAGGCTTCCAAAAAGCCCCAGGAGGCTCCCAAGAGGTCCAGAAAAGGCCCCACGAGGCCCTCGAGAGGCCCCCGATAGGCTGCAATACACCCCAAAAGCGCTTCACGAGGCCTGCCAAGATATTCCCACAAGCATGCAAAAGGCTTCTGACCTACAACTCAAACACGATGGCGGGATAGGCCGAAAGACACTCTGTACGTACATCTGTGGCAATTTTAACCAGCGTGGACCCCCAAACCGTGTGTTCTAGAAAAGGATGCGTTGCAATTTATGTGATGCCATCTATGCGGTGCAATCTATGTGGTGCTATGTGGGGTAAACTATGCGGTGCAATTCACGTGATGCAGCAGAGACCGTGCAATCTATGTGGTGCAATCTATGTCGCGCAAGCTGTGCACCGTAACGCAACGCAATGCAACGCAATGCGAAGTAACGCAAAGGAATGACAACCAATATCAAGCAATGTCAAGCACTGCAAAGCGATGCAACCCAACGTAATACAACCCAGTGCAGAGCAATGATAAACATAACAAACAATGATCACTGCAAACAATTACAACACGATGCACTGCAATACACCGTAATGTCAACCAGTGTAGAGCAATGTAACGCAATACAGAGCAATGCCAACCACAGCACATCACAGCATAGCAGTACAACTCAATGTAAAGCAGTGCAATGCAACGCGATTGCACAGCAGTGCGATTGCAATGCAGTAGCGCGGCGCAATGCGAAGTAACGCAACGCAACGCAACGCTACAACATGCAAGCAATGCAACGCATGGCATATGCGAAGCGTTGCCAAGCAATGCAATGCGGGTGGCGACGAGGCGGCGGGCGGCGACGAGGCGGCCACATGGCGGCCAGAGCGGCCCGCCGGCCCAGGCGACGGGCGGCGACGGGCGGCGACGAGGCAGCGACAGCGGCCACATGGCGGCCAGAGCGGCCCGCAGGCCCAGTTCCTTAGACAAGAAATGAGAACCCCTAAATGCAAGCACGTTTTGGGGAAGTCGGAACCCTTACGTGCAAGCACTGTTTGGGGACAGAAGTAAGACCCCCTACGTGCAAACACTATTTGGCGTGCTGTTGGGCGTGCTTTAGTGTATGCAAGCGCTGTGGCACTCAGGGTCGCAAAGCGAAAAAAAGGCGCACCTCAACATCCCCTTCCTCCTCCTCCTCCTGCTCCATCTTTCCTCCCCTTCTGTGCTACGCTGTGCAAAGCAATGTCCAGCAATGCCATGCAATGCAAACCAGTGCAAAGCACTGAAAACCAGTGCAAATCAAGGCGCAGCAATGCAAACCAGTGTAAACCACGCAAAGCAAGCAATGCCAATCAATGCGTCACAATGTGATGGAATGCGACTCAGTACAACGTACAACGCAGGCCCAGATAACGACGGGGCGGCGACGGCGACCACACAGCCGCGAGACCGACAGGCAGCCAGAGAATACGGGCGGCGACGGCGACCACATAGTGTCCACACCGACGGGCATGCCCAGCTCCTTCGAAAAGAACGAATGCACACTTATCGAAACTATTACTTATATAAGATATAGACACATCCAGGTAAACACATTTAGATCTACCTGCATGTGCAGTTACACATTTCTATACATGTATGTATGTATGTCTATATTTTTTACAAATATGTATGCTTGTGTAAAGTTGTATGCATGTCTGTATGAATGCAAGTGTATGTTTACTTGTATGCATGACTTGTGAATATTTATGTATGTGTGTACGTGCGTACGTATGTATGTATGCTTGTATGCCAGTCAGTCAGTCAGTCTGTCTGTCTCTGTCTCTGTCTCTGTCTGTCTGTCTCTCTGTAGGAATGTATGTAGATATGCATGTGTGTATGCATGCATAGATGTGTGTCTGTCTGTAGGTATTTATGGATGCATGCGTGCAGGTGTCTCTATGTGTAGGTATGCATGCATGCATGCATGCATGTATGTATGTGTGACAGTACCGTACGTATGTGTATCCATATGCGTATATGTATGTGTGCATATATGCATGCGTCTATATATACGTATGCATGCATGCATTTATGTATCTGTGTAGGTATGTAGGGATACACATCTATGTATGTATGAATGAATGAATGCATGTATGCATGTATGTATGTACGTACTTAGGTATTTGTGCATGTGTGTACATGTGTATGTATGTATGTATGTATGTATGTATGCATGCATGTATGTATGTATGCATGTATGCATGTATGCATGTATGCATGTATGCATGTATGCATGTATGCATGTATGCATGTATGCATGTATGCATGTACGTATGCATGCATGCATTCATGCATGCTGTTATATGTACTAGAACCATCGCGCGCGCTTCGCGCGCGCTCAGGTTCTAGCCCAGGCCGCATGTAGACGTACATGAAGGTTTCTGGGGAAGCCTCTCAGAAGCCCGTTGGGGCCCTCTTGGGGGTCTCCTGGGGGCTTCCTGGGAACCTCGGGGGCCCTCTTGAAAGCCTCGTGGGGGGCCTCCGGAGGCCCTTTGGGGCCTGCCGCGGGCGTCTTGGGGGCCTCTTTGGGCCTCTTGGGGGTCTCTCAAGGGCCTCTTGGGGGCCTCCTGGGGCGGGGGGGCTGGAAAGTTCAGTTGGGTTTCCCGTCTGGGGCCCCTCTTGGGACCCTTCGGGGACGCGTTTGGGCCGTCCTGGGCGCCTCTTGGACTGTCCTGGGCCCCGCTGGGGCCGTCTTGGGGCTCTCTTGTGGGCTTCGTGGGCCGTCTTGGGGCGGTCTAGGGAGAGTCTGAGGTCGTAAAGGACGGTACGAAGGCCAAACAATCGAATATGGTAAAAATGTACGTTTTACGGAGGGAACGGGGCTATTTTTGCTTCCCGGGGCCGTCTGGGGGGATCTCTTGGAAGGGTCTTCGAGCGTCTTGGAGGCGTCTGGGGCGGTTCGAGACGCCACTTGAGCCGCCGGAGACCGCTGGAGGTTGTCTTCAGGGTGGCTCTGGGCGGCCTGGGGCCGCCTGGACGGCCGTCTGGGCGCTCTGGGGGCCGACCTGGGGCCCGCCGGGGAGCGGGCTGGGCCCGACGTCCCCCCATTTGCGGTCGAGGCTGCGGCCCCGGGGCCCCTGGGCCCGGTGCGGCGTGACATGTATATGTATGTGTATATATATATATATATATATATATATATATATATATATATATATATATATATATACTAGAACCACGCGCGCGCTTCGCGCGCGCTTAGGTTCTAGCTAGGAGGCGAGCTTGAGTCAACGAAAGTCGCAGGGAAGGGGGCAGGGGGAAGAAGGCCAGAGAGCGCTGAAGGATACAAATACTGGAACCCTCTTGTGATTTTGTGGGGGGCCTCGTCCGGCCGCTCGCTGGGAGTTTGACGTAGCTTCTCGGGAGCCTCTGAACCTGTCGGGGGCCTCCTGGAAGCAGGTTCGAAGCATTTTGGGG